TTAACCCCAAAAGTTTTATTTTGGTCTCATCTAACCATAGAACTTTCTGACACATTGTAGGGTTAATGAAATGTTTACGAGCATAGCCCATTCACGATCTAAGATGCATCTTTGTCAGCAGTGGTTTCTTTTTTGCCACCCTACCATACAAGCTTTTTTTGTGTAAGGTACATGATATTGTTAAGGTGTGTTCAATAACTCCAATTGCTGCTATTGAAGTTTGCAGCTCCTTCAGAGTCACTGTTGGCTTGACAGTTGCTTTTCTGATGATTTTTCTGCTTGTTCGAGTGCAGACTTTCTTAGGGTGATCTGATCCTAGCAAGGTTGAGGTAGTGTGACACACTTTCCATTTCTTCACAACCAGTTTTACAGTACTTAATGTCAAATTGAGAACCTTTGAAATTGATTTATAGCCTTCTCTGGAATTGTGCTTCTGAACGATCTTCTCCTTTAGGTCTGTAGAAATTGTTTTCTCATCATTTTCTATATGTAACAGTAAACCAAATTTTAACTTTCAAAATACTCTACTTAAATCAATACTGATGGCTCTATATGACCTAAAGTATATTTTCACATGGCTCCATAGCACTTGTATTTACTTTAACAGGGAAGTGACATTAAATCAACAATGGTGAAGCCTTTTGCAACGTGTTTACAAGATTTTTTTATGTTATGTCACTAAATTGGGTAACAATGTACCTTTTGTCCTTTTTAATCTTTAGCAACTGGTCTGAGATTAATATAATAAATATTTTTGGCTATTTAGGTTGTCTTTCACAAGAAAATACCTAAAATTTATTACTAGCACAGGGGGGTGAAGGCTTTTGCAAGGCACTGTAGGTAGAAATACACATATTTATGTAATAAAGCTTTAAAGATTTTTCTGAACTGCTCAGCATCTTGTGTTACTACTTGCTTATTATCACCTTTTTTCACCTTCTTTCCACTTTTTCTATTATTTAATGATTCGTTTTACATTTTATATTTCACTTCATAAATATAACAAACTGCTTAATTATTTTTATTAATAAGTAAATTTTATTTATTATTCACATAAATGTTTACTTCAGTTTATTGTTATGGTTAGCTGTTTATAGATACCAGTAACTTTACATACTTTGATTCAATGGCCTAATTTGGCCCATTTATTAATATTTTGTCATTATTGTCAGCTGTTTTTTTAGGTACCAGTAATTTACTTCTGTGAAAGTACCAATAAAGTACCAGCAAAACATGTTAAGCACACTTAAAGGCAGGGGTAGAATATATACATATTATTTTTGAAAAAACTTAAATGAATAATTAATTTTAACTTTATTAATGCTAGGTGTAACCTTTATTATCACCATAGTTATCAATACAGAAATTTATCTAGGTAATCTAATACTTGGGTGTAGATGACATAGTTACCAGTTTTTTTAATTATACTTAGAATAATTACCCATTTTTATCTATTCTCTTTCATGTTTTGTTTTTAGCCCTACCTTGTATATACTATTGTAGTCAATGGAGCTAACTGTAACAAATTCAAAGTGATGCTTATTGATGGATATAGTTCTTTTTAGACTTTGTACCACAAACCACAATGTTATATACTGAGTTAGTACATGTAGTGTGAATTTTTATAATACTCATTATTACTTATACATAGGAGCAAGTCACTCAACAGTTACATCCTCCATTGCATCTTCTGTTCATCCATCAGCTCCTCCTGATAATGCAGACAACAGACAGGTCAGTGTTTTCAACTGGAAATTAATGAAAAGAAAGACATCTGTCAGACAACAGGACTACTTTTTTGAAATGAGAATAAACCATAAGAGAAAATTAGTTGTTGTTTTTTTCACAGAAGTTATACTCAAGTTTAAAAGAAACTACAATTGTCAGGCTGTGTAATCACCAATACTGTCATGGTATCGTAGAACAGTATTCATAATGTTAGAAATCATCATTTATTTGCTAGTGAAATTGTGTACTTAATATTTTATCACATTTTTTTAATTGCAGAATCTGCTTTTCTAAACAGTTAGTATTTTTTCCAGATATAAGCTACAAGTTATCAAATACAGATTTGACTTGAAGTGGTCAGTGAAAAAAAATTTATATTTAATATGAAAGATTAATAATAGAATTGAAAGTTAATATGATTTATAGTTTAAACAAGTTAGTGTATTTAAAATTTGTAACAATCATGCCACATTGGTTTATCAGCTTATTACCTTCAAAGTAGGTTTTATAATGGTTTCCAATAAGAGAGCATCTCAACCACTGGCAGCAAGGTCTTTCATTCGATACCAGAGCTTATCATGCAATATGTAAAACCTCTTTCAAAATGCTATTTATATCAGTTGCTTATAAAATATCAGTTATTGCTACTGGCCTGATACAATGGAGATGTTTTTTTGAACTTCTTATCAAAAAATCTGTACAAGGTCAGTGGAGAAAGACTCAAAAAGTTATCAGTCCTAGTGTGATAGAATGTCTCACAAACCACTGATCTGTAGATCATGCCATACAGTAACAAGCCATTATGAAAAATAATTAATATCTTATAAAGAACTGGTGTAAATAGAGTTATGACTTAGTATTTGTGTGTTGCTTGCCTCACTGACCTAATGGTATGCAGCAAGACATTCTTCTTACTGGAAACACATGCAGAACCAAAAACGATAGATTTGTAGCAACATATTATCAGTCTTATTGTGATATAATGTCACATAAACCATCAAAACTTGGTTATGTTCACTTATAAGTGTTACAGTACCAACCACCAAAACTTGATTATGTTCACTTATAAGTGTTACAGTACCAACCATCAAAACTTGGTTATGTTCACTTATAAGTGTTACAGTACCAACCATCAAAACTTGATTATGTTCACTTATAAGTGTTACAGTACCATAAAATGTTTTTTAGTTTCTTTCTTAGACATTCCTGGACAATATTAAGTATATCATTTATAAAGTTAAACAATTACTGTATAGATGTTTGTAAGTGTTTGTATATAGATACAGTGAATAAGTAGAAAAATGAGAAGCTGATAAAATGAAATAAATCTCATTAATTGACAGACTTGTTTCTGGCTTAAAAAAAAGAGCATTTGCACAAAACATTGCCAAGTTAATAAATTATTACCATAGTTTTTAAAGGTGATTTTTTCTCTCTAACAGTCTAATTTATATATATATACATATATAAATAAACACACACACTATTTTTTTTGTAGGATCAACTACCACCTTATTATTCAACTCAAGGCCCTCAACCAGTTCAAACAAATTGAGAGAGCAAAATGTGAGGTGTCTGCACCAACATCTGTGTAATGCTACATAATGAGCAAAGGGAGTTTGATTTTTTTTTTGCTTTCTGAATAACTCTCATGTCTGGATACTTTTAATTTCCTATTGCACAAAATAAACCAATTATTGCTCATGTTCACAGACTTTTCCTCTACAGATGATGAGTTACTACTCTTTCAGTGTTCTTGACACTTTTCAGACTTTAGTAAGTGTTCAGTGTTTTAAACACTTTTAGAACTTGTAGAAACTCCTAAAAGTTTTGAACTCTCTTAAATCTTTTTTTTTTTTCAGTTTACGAAAGTTCAAATCTTGTCAGGGAAAATGAAAAATGTTTGAAAATATTATTAATTAAAAAAAAACGTTTGATTTTGGTTTGATATTGTCATAAATTTATATATTAACAAAAACATTTTGTCCATAGTGGATTTAAATGTATCATTTTTGTATATACTCCAGATATTTGTTAACATGGTGGAAACCTTTTTTCTTTTCTTTTTTTCTAATTGAAGAAAGAAATGTAACAAGCAGTTGAAAAGTTTTTGATTTTTTAACATAGAGGTTATAAATGTGCTTAGCTAATCAGAATTATTATAACAGTCCTCAGACTTTATGAATGAAAATTTAACTATATACTGAAGAAAGAAAGCAAGAATAAAAAGAAATGTAAAAATGCTATCAACTTAATGAAATGTCTTTAGCATACATTGATCTTTGGTAGATTGTGAAAATGGTTTTGTTATATATGTGTATTTATTAATATTCATTTATACTTATTTTATATATGAAGAAAGCTACTTGTAAAGTTTCTTTCCTCTTAAGCCTTCCAAGTATGTGTATTGATTCTTTATGTACATACATTTGTATTTCATGTTTCCAAAGCAGCAAGTTGCATCTAGTTTCAATTCACTAAGGTAAACCATAGAAATCAAGTGATGTGGGTATAATAAAGCTTCAACATAAATAAATCTTAAAAAGGTTAAAAAAGTAACAGAAATTTTATCTCCAATTATACCTTTTTAAATAGTAATTGTAAAGTATATTTTTAAATAAAAAATATGATAGCTCTTATAGTATATTAATAAGAAACTTACATATCATTTAAAGTATAAGTTGTAAGTAGAATTAGGTTGAAAACATACAAAGCTATAAAATGCATGTTCTTGTATTTCAAATTTTGTTTGTTATTTTGAGTTATAATGTTTTTACAGCTATATTTTGTCATTATGTTCACTTTCTCCAACATGGTGGTATCTGGAACAAAACATTGAGATGGGGAAAAACAATGTTGAGACAAGTTGTGAAAACCATCCATGTGTTATCTTTATTACATATGTTTTCTTGTTTGTTTACTGTGTCTCAGTTGTTGTTAATTGCAGATTATCAATAAGAAATATCAGCATACTTTGAGTAACTACTAGTATGTAAAACACTATTTTCAATTAAAAATGCAATAAAATCGTACAAGAAATCTTGTGATATTTAGTAAAACTCCTATATATATATACACTTGTCAGTAGACATTCAGTAGTTTGTTTTTTTTTCTATTCAGAAGTAAAATTTAAAATATGTAATTGACTATACAAGGGTTATATTTTATTGTAGAAAACAGTACATTGTCAGTATTTTGTCTTGTAAAGCTGGATTACAGAAAAACAGAATTTCTCTTATAATGTATATATGTTTAGAAAGATATGAACTGTGTTATCAGATAACTTACACAATCTTGAATCAAATTACACACACATGCAAGATTGAAATTGTTTTTTTTTTTGTTTATTTAAAGCTTTTACTGTGAAGTTTTTGAATCGGCTTTAGCCTAAGTACAGTGTTCCAGTTGAAATTGTTCAAACATTTACTAGTGAAAAACTAGTAATGGTAAAAATGTGAAATAGATACCAATGTAAGGAGCAAAATTTGAAGCTATTTCTTATTTAAGTTTCAGTATGACCTCCATTTCAACTTACCACACAGTTTTTATATTTATATTCCACCTCACCCCCAACTTACCACACAGTTTTTATATTTAAGTATATGTTTCAGTATGACCTTCCATTTCAACTTACCACACAGTTTTTATATTTATATTCCACCTCACCCCCAACTTACCACACAGTTTTTATATTTAAGTATATGTTTCAGTATGACCTCCATTTCAACTTACCACACAGTTTTTATATTTATATTCCACCTCACCCCTGTCAAAACAGCTTACTTCCTATAATATTTGTAATTCTGAATTGTTGTTTTCTGTTCAGTGACAGTTTGGGAGTTGTTCTGTGTACTAATTCCTACCAGTAGATTTCACAGGATTAGTTGATGTTCAAAGTGTTCAGTTCCATGTTTGGATAATTTTCTTGTGTTATTTATGTCTTTAATCTTGTATCTTTTTGCATTTTCTAACTACTCAATTAAAACTTATCTAAAAAAGGCATAAAAGTTGCTAATAAAGGGGAAAAAATTTGAATTATTACTCTGTTATTTTAAAACTTTGTGCATCCTGAAGCCCTTGAAACAAAAATTAAACTGAAAGAAAAAAAAGTATATCAGAATTAAAGGTTTTTAATAATTCAGTATTTTATTAGTTCAGCATTTTGAAGAACATTCTATATGCAAGTATTATAGAATGCTATGTATATAAACACAGTGGTAAAAAAATTACCAGTGTAGTACATTGATCTTTTAATTTTAGTCTAACTATTTGGTGAGAAACCTCAGTCATTAGTAAAACAAATGAGATATTAACTTTCTTTAATACTGAGAATTTATTAGTATAGAAGATTGAAAAACTCTCATATTCAGCCATTTCAAACATGAGTTGGAACATAACTCACTGCCATGATTAATCCTTTTTTCTCTCTCTTTATTGATATGTGAACATCCCTCAGTGCCATAGTTAGTGTTGACATCTATTTGAAAAAAATGGTTTAATATCATTATATTTATTAATAAACTGATTTAGAATAAAAGTACTAGTACCAAGTTCTTCCAAAACAGTAGAAAGGGGAATATCTGACAGTGTTTTTCAGAATACTGCTACATTTCAGTATTCAGTTGTTATTTATAACATGAAAGAATATTGTACATTGAAGTACGGTTAAAAATTGTCATTGATTTATGTCTTGCATAAAATATGCTGTGCATGCCTTTTGTGATGGAAATTAAATATCAAAATGTGTGATCAGTTTTGGGCTTTGCATAGCTGGACTGTGTTTTGATACATTAAATTTATTCTCAGAAATATTAGCAATTTACTTTTCTTCTCACACTATTTAATAAATATGGTTGCTTTATTTAATTTTTCTGCACTGTGTATTTTTGGTAGATAAAGCACTTTAATTTCAGGGTTAGATATATTAAAGTGTAGTAACTGTTGGCTCCTGATGTTTATTATGGCTATATATTACTGGATACTGTTGAAAAGGAGCAGTTGTTTTTCTTATGCTCAAATGTTTTTATTGAGCTGTAAACATACTAGTTTCAACTTAACCATCTCTAACTGTATAAGTGTTAATTTAGTTAAAGGAAGCACATATTACTTTATTTACATTGTGCCTGTAGTAGCTGTGTGAGACAAAATTGTCTTGAATTCATACAATCATTAAGACAAGTATGTTTTCAGAATGTATGCTTTAGAACATTAATTATAATAAAAACTTTCTTACATCATTTTATATGTTAAAGTTACCAACATTTTTCACCAACCTGTATACTTTCAGGTTTTATTTTTATTATCTTTTCTAATGTTGTTTTGATCCTGTAATATTACTGTTCAAGAATAGCTGGTAGTAGTAGTAATGCTTGGAGATGGCTTGAATGGGTAATGAAGAAAAAACTTTAATATAAGTTTAACAAAACAGCAAATGTACAACGTTTTGACAAGGTTTTGTCATCATCAGGTACATTCAAGCCTTCTCCAAACATTATTAGTCTCAAAGTGGGTTTCTCGTAATCATATCTAGTAGTAGCTTTAGATGTTGATAAACTAAGCTGCATATTGTTTTACAAGTCCTGAAATTTATAAATTAATGTTGGTTAAACTTACTAATACTTTAGATTACAGTTGTTGTTAGCTATGTTTGTGTGATCTTTCCACTTGCTAGCACACTGCGGAATTATTTAAAAAACAATTAACAAACTGATATTGAAATAACAATTTTAAAGAAGTGTCTTTCTGAAATAAAGAACATATAAGTAATTACCTTTACCTAGTGTACTTTAGGAATTTAAGAGTGATGAGTTAAAAATAAACTATCATGTGAATCTCCTGGTTTAACACAAATTTACCAGTCACTAGTCAATAAGTGATAAAACATACTCATTCAAAAATTTCTATTCATTTTTAAGCTTATTATACTAATTTTATTTAATTTGACATATGAAGAAAAAATTGTAAGTAACAGTACAGCATAAGTTTAGACAACAGACAAAGAATGTTATATTAGCATTAAACACTTGTTAGTTTCTAATTTTTCTTTATAATACTTATATTAAAGTTCTTTTTTAGAAATCAGTGTTAGAAATGGCATAATTTCTGTAACTAACTGTAGCAAATTAATTTATTTTTGTCTTACTTTCTTATAAAGGTATAAAAAAAAAAATGTCTTGCATTTGTTTTAGGGTATGGGTATTTTGGTAAAAGAAAACGTACTATATTCCTGTAATTCTTATACAACTGGTGTGAATATTCTAAGCTCAGTAATATTATTACAATATTTAGAGTATTAATTTGTGAGTAACCAACAAAGAAGATGAAGGTGGTTTTGTACTTATGAAAATAGTTTACCATTTAAATTTTATTTTCATTATACTTGTTTAATCTATCAGACTTTATCTCTGCAAGTTTTTATCAGTAAAGTGTTTATTATTCTTTGAATAGTTGGACCTGAAACGTTATTTTTATGAAGAACTATAAGAAAGTGAACTAAGGTTTTTAAGGAATGGTGTTTATGTCCCATGTCTAGATTCATCAAGTTTAGAAATTCTTTGTTTTGTTTTTGTTGAAACCTAAATTTTGAAAGTCACAATGTGGATCTCTGCACATATTGATCAAGTAGATTTTATTTAAGTTCAATTTTGGTTGTTTGCCTGTGGATACATTATCGAGTAGAACTGCATTATGTGTACATAATAATAATTGTATATACACAGCAAATTGGTTTAAATATATATATATATATATATACAACTGGTGTTCATCAAGTTGTATTTATGATAATAATTATATAAAATGAATCTCTTTCTTTTTATTTTTGAACTTGGGATACATAATAACTTTGTAAAATTTTATTTCCACTTGATACTACTACATTAGTAGGATTTAAATTGTTTCATTGTATTGCATGACCTAGTTATATTTGACAGCGGTATTTCATTTTCATTGAATTGAAATGTAACACTAAAATAAAGGAATAATTAACCTTTATGGTTACTCAGTTTGCATCTGGGAAACACATTAATGAAATGTTTATTGATAATGATATTTATGTGTTTCCTAGCATCTCTTGTGTGTTTTGGTTTGATAAGTGTGCTATTGTTGTAGTGACTGTGGTTTGTTCTTACTTATGAAAATATTAATGTGTGCTTGTATTTACTTTTGATTTTAGTCACTTATTAATTTTTCATGAATCATATATTTATTGTAGAAGTATGTAAATGATGACCTCCAATAAATTTTATGTAATTGTCCATCTCAAAGTGAAGACTTGTATGAAAAATGACCTTGTGAACAATAATATACTTCATGGTTAAATTTATTTTTTCTATATTAGAAAAATGAGGTATATGAAAACACTATCTTAATAATTAAGATTCAAAAACGAAATGACCAGTTAACACAACAGAAATAGTTCAAAAACAGTGGTTAGTTCAAAGAAATTGCAACACAATTTATTTTCCTTGTATATTGCATGGCCAGGTGGTTAGGGCGCTTGACTCGCAATCTGTGGCTTGCGGGTTCGAATTCCCATCGCTGAACATGCTCGCCCTTTCACCTGTGGGGGCGCTATGGTGTGACAGAAAATCCCACTGTTCGTTGGTAAGAAAGTGGCCCAAGGTGTTGATTAGCAACCTACCCTTTAGTTTTACAGTGTAAATTAGAGACAGCTACCTAGAGAGGAGATGGGCTCTGCCAGGTAAGGCCCAGCATGGTCAGGTGGTTAGGGATCTCGACTTGCAATCTGCGTGTCACTGGTTCGAATCCCCGTCTCACCAAACATGCTCGCCCCTTCGGCCGTGGGGGCATTATAATGTGACGGTCAATCCCACTATTTGTTGGTAAAATAGTAGCCCAAGACTTGGCGGTGGATGGTGATGACTAGCTGCCTTCCCTCTAGTCTTACACTGCTAACTTAGGGATGGCTAGCGCAAATAGCCCTCGTGTAGCTTTGCGCTAAATTCAACACCAAAGGTGCCCCAACGGCTGTAAGTGTCCTCAGAACTCAAAAGAAAAAAATGTAGCAGTAAAACCTTTTTCTTTATTGACCCTCCAATTTTGCATTTTTCGTTATTTTAGGTAAACCATTTATAGAAATATTTTATGTGTCACTATTGTAAGGGCGACGTATCGCGTCGGCGTTTGGCATGTTTTTTTAGCCAAGATCCACTTGCAGAATTTCGATAGGTTCCTTTTTTTTAACACAAGCTTGTTATCTTGGAAGATACAGATGTCTTAGAAGCCCGATCCCAATGTCTGCTCCTTTTGTACCCTGCAAAAAGTCGAGGGACCTTCTGGGATGGAATGTCTTCCTCCTCGCTACAGGTGACGTCTTCTACCAGTACTGTGCTGGCCTGGGATATGATCAAACCTGTATAATGAATACTCGCTACTGGTGTCGTCTTCTACCAGTACTGTGCTGGCCTGGGATATAATCAAACCTGTATAATGAATACTCGCTA